GGGTGGGGTGGAGGTCCCGGGGGGGCCTGTGGGTCGGGAGCGGTAGCTGCTACAACCGCGTGATGGGCAGCATGGTCAGACTTTAATTGTTTTATTGCGTCTGTGACTAATCACCGGGTAGTAAGGACCGTCTTTGCCTGCTCGTCTCCCCTAGTAGCCGCATCCCACAACAAGTCCCCTGCCTTATCCCAAGTTTCCGGTAGAAAGGCAGTAGCCGAGTCAAGGGGAATTCCCCTTCGTTTTAGCCATGCAAGCAACAGGCAGATGGTATAATCATCATACTTTATCCTGCATTTTTCTAAGAGTTTTTTAAAGATGCCTAATATAGATTCCTCCTCCTTCATTAACTGCGATCCCATTTTAAGTTCCCAGCTGCTCACCTCTGCTCCAAGGAGGCGATTGTTCAGAATTCCGGTTCCAGCTCTGCCTGAGACTGCTCCGTCTCCCGCTGGCTGTTGTTCGTTCAGCTGGCTCCCCACCGGTGCTCACCTCCGGCATTCGGGCCCCACATTGGGCACCATTTGTGGGGATTAACGGCACAGACTCTGGCAAGCAGCAACCAAAGACCTTTATTGCTCTATATTAGCGCAATTTATAGCAAGCAAAAGTGTCCACGCGCTATCCGCAGCCTGCAGATAGGTTACAGCCTTGTGTTCACGCGCATCTATGCTCCAGCGGATAGGTCTGTTCTTCCTGACCATGCAGCATGACTTCATGGTCCTTATCTTGTTTACTCCTTTCCAGCAGCTCATTCCTTTCTTCCTTTTCTTCTGCCTGTGTGCTTTCTCACAGGTATAGTGCCTGCTCATTAAAATTGAATTTAGTAATGTCCATAGTTGAAAATCCTATCCCCACAGGTATGGCCATGAGCCTCTTGTTTAAAGTGACACCCGTGAAGGTATACTTCTTGAGGTGGTCTTTTTTTTTTTTTCCTTCTGCAAAGTGAAAACTGCTTTATTGATTGCTGTCAACATTTTGCAATTAATGTATGATCCCAAAGATGAAGACAGGTGTCTATGAAGAAGATGAGAGGTCGCTGAAGTTACATTATGTTAGATGAAGAGGTGCTAATAGGAGAGCATCTTCAACTGGAATGATTTCCATTTCTCGGCATTGCAGCTACAAGCAACTCATAAATGACATGAATGTACTGTGGTGTTTTACACAGTGACGCACCCCCTGCACCACCCTGACAAGGCCCTCCTGGAGAAGCTTTTGCTTCTCTGAAGGTCCATTTGCAGCTTGCCTGAGAGAAGTGGCATTTCCTATGCTTAGGGAAATGCTGCGAAGAGCTGTTTCGCACCAGGAGGTGCCGGTCTGTTACAATCCCAGTGCCATCTCCTGTTGGACACAGCTCTATAAACAAAGAGAGAATAGTACAGATAATCTTACGTCCCTTTTGATGCTGGGAACTTTGAGCTGTGCAGCATTGAACGGGCCTCCAGTGCACATGCAGCACGCCATGAAGACCCCGTCTGTAGAAAGGGTTACCTCATTTTGGTCATTCAAGCTATTGTGGGATTTTCTTGCGGGAAAACAACTCCATTCATCATTTCTGTTGTCAAACAGAAAGGATGTTCACATGAGAACTTCTTGCTGCATTTCTAGATAAGGGCAAGGCCACGCAGGTGGTGTAATTGCTGGTACGGAGGGGGAGCTGCCTGCAGGCTCCTCCGTTACAGTGAGCTGAGGTTGTCCTGCAGGCAAGGGATTTGTGCAGCACAACACAGGCCCAAAGACCACGCTGGGTGTGCAGCAGTTTAACTCTCATGTGGTCCGCTAACTCCTTCACGTGCAATGATCTCCCGGTCAGGATCGCCGCAAGGGCCAACAGGTTTCATTGCATCGTGGCTACGGTCCCTTCCCCAGCTGCAATCACGGGAAGAGGCCTCCGCCTCTCTTGTACGCCGGCCATACTCCAACCACGAGACCCAGCACAACACACGGGGCTGCGCGCGCTGGCGGAGAAAGCCGGAGCTCTGCGGACAAGCGTCTCCAAAGCCCGGGAGACCCCAAAGCTCGGGGCTTGCTGCCAGGTTTTAGCCACGCCACAAATAATTATCTGCTTTGTATTTCTGAGCAGTTCCCGAGCTTACAGCGTTAACAATGTGTACTGTGATTGCACGTGTTATGTGTAACTCTCACAAATCACGGTGAGACTGGTTTGAGTGTATGATCGATTTATTAATTAGCAAGAAATGGCAATAAGCAAAACAGCGCAGGGTGGCCCGGGAGCCTCTGCTCCACTGACGGCACACGCGGGTTGGCAAAGCACATCAGGTTATGTACAGAAAAACCATACATATTCATCAGATTTCCTGGAAAGGGTAGTCTTATGGTGATGAGCTCCCAAGCATGCGCAGTAAAATTAGGGTTAGGGTCTTTTCACCCTCCGGTGGTCGTTCATAGTTTTCCTCACTTTGTCCTCTGGTTGAACTT